GATTTTATCCATTTAATTACTCTTGTTGAGAAATTATAATTTAACAACTTTTTAATTAAAATCTCATGATTTACTGTGTCAAATGCTTTCCTTAAATCCAGAAAAACAGCTCCCACCACACCACCTTTATCTAATTTTACTTTAATATTTTCCAAAAGACAATTTGCAGTTTCTGTTGAATGGTACTTTTGAAAACCAAACTGCATCGGATGCAATGAAAATGATGTGTTATTCAAATGTAATATTATCTGTTCGGAGATCCATTTTTCTGCAATTTTTGAAACTGCGGGGAGAATACTAATGGGTCTATAATTACTAATTGACATATTATCTCCCGATTTAAACACAGGTGTAATAACTGCAGTTTTCCAAGCACTCGGAAACACTCCTTCATTCATAGACCAATTTATAATTTTTAAAATTGGAGGAATAAGTGCCTCTTTATAAGTTTTTAAAAATATTGTATCCATTCCATACACATCTTTTGCCCTTGAACTATGTGAACTATATGAAATAACAGTCGGAATTATATATATATATTTTCTTTTAATGTAACAATTTATTTAACCTTTAAACAAAGTTTTGTTTTACAGAATGATTACTATGCAGCTGATAAACTTAAAATTAAAGTACATTCACTATCAAATTATTTACTTGAAAGTGACAGATCTGAATGTGAATTTTGCTCACTTAGGCAACTTTGGGCAATGCTTTTTCTTATGTTTTAGTAGAGTAGATGAGAAGGTGAAATTCCTCCCACATGAAGAGCACTGGTACGGCTTTTCTCCAGTATGAACTCTCAAATGATCTTTCAGGATTCCTGACCGAGCAAAACTCTTTCCACAGTGTGAGCACTTGTAAGGTTTCTCTCCAGTGTGAATCTTCTGGTGTTTGTTTAAGTCGCTGGTTGTAGCAAAGCTCTTCCCGCAGTCAAAGCACACATAAGGTTTCACACCAGTATGAATACTCTGGTGATTTTTTACAGATTGCAGAAGTGCAAAACTCTTTCCACAAAAAGAACAAGTGTGAGGCTTCACTCCAGTATGAAGTTTAAGGTGTTTTCTTAAGTTTGATGCCAAAACAAATGTTTTATCACACTGATCACAGCTGAATGATCTCACTCCAGCGTGAGAATCCAGATGCTCTTTGAGAACGCTTCTGTCTCTGAAACTCTTTCCACACTGAGTGCATGTGAAGGGTTTTTCTCCAGTGTGAATTTTCATGTGCGAATTTAGGTGTCCTGTTTGAAAGAAACTCTTTCCACACTGAGTGCATGTATAAGGCCTCTCTCCAGTGTGAGCTCTCATGTGTCTTTTAAGGCTTCCTTTTTGAATGAAACTTTTTCCACATTCTTGGCAGGTGTAGAGGTTCTCTCTAGTGTGAATTCTCATGTGAACTTTAAGGTTTCCTTTTCGGATGAAACTTATTCCACACAGTTTGCAGGTGTAAGGCTTCGCTCCAGAGTGAATTCTCATGTGAGCATTAAGGGTTGGCTTATGTGTAAAACTCTGTTCACACTGAAGGCATTTGAAGGGCTTCTCTCCACTGAGTTCTCATGTGGCTCCCAAGGCTTCCTTTTTGAATGAAACTTTTACCACACTGTTGGCAGGTGTAAGGCTTCTCTCCAGTGTGAGTTCCAATGTGACCTGCAAGGCTTTCTTGTTGATCAAAACTCTTTCCACACTGAAACGGGTGAAATAATTTCTAGGTGTCTTTGAGCAATTAAAAGATTTTTCAACAGTTATGAAATCATTATATTTCTCATACTGATATTTCTCTTCCATTTCATTCAATTCTTGACTCTCTTCTTTCAGCGCCATCAGGTCTAAGGTGAAAAAAGACAAACACAGATTAGTGGCACTTTAATGGCTTAAAGCAACAGACATCAAAACCAAGATAAAACATTTTCCAACAAAACTGGGATATTATAGACCAGTCACTCCTGGTCTTAGGGACCCACCGCTCCGCTCATTTTATGTCTCCATTTTGACACCTGATTCAGATCACCAGCTCATTAGGTGAGAGCTCCATGAACTCAGCTGAGTGTGTCAGATAAGGGAGACATTCAAAATGTGCAGAGCAGTGGGTCCCCAGGACCAGCATTGAAAATCACTGAGCTGGTTTAATGCATGAATTCTTGATAAAATGCAGTTATATTATGGGCTGTTGGCATTAATTGTGCTCGTGAT